GCCCCAAGTCGAGATGCAGGTGCGAGGACCCATGTGGGAGGAAGGATGAGGAACCAGAGAGGAGGCTTTTACCGTAGAGCAACTCATTAAAACATCTTCGGAAAACCCTGGGGAGCGCCTGTAAGAGGCCCCATTTCTCCCTCTCTTCCCACTTCCCCCTTTGGGCTTCCTCCAGTGCAGGTGACCAGCCCAGAGCGACCAGTCTCACCGAGCATGACCTCTTCATGGCGCCAGAGATGGTCAGGGAGCTCCAGGCAAGGCAGCAAGGAGATTTCCATGGTGGGCATCGCTTTGTGGCTTGAGCTAAGCCACATATGACCTTGTGTTTAGAGATGATCCAGGCAACAGAGCTATTTGGAGCCATATTTCCCTGACTGCTTCACCGAACTGAACTTGCAGGTTCCTCCACTCCCTTTATGAGCGTGTGCAAGATGGAGAAACTTCCCAACCTATGACTGAGGAACCAGTAAGAATGCTGGAAATCCAGCTCCTAGCCCTGCTACCACTTCCCTCCTTGTAACGATTAATACTGGGGGTAACGTTCCCTTAACGAAGGATGTGGTCACGCTCTCGTACAGGAGCTGACCCCTCTCCCCAGGGGTGGAGGGACTTTCACCTTCTACGGTTTACATTTCTGAAAAAGGGACTTGGGAATGCAAAATTAAAGCTTTCTCACTTTAAGTTCCTGATGATGCCAGAGCAGGCCAGTCCTGGCATCGTTTGTACGAAGAGCTCGTGCAGTTGCGGTTACAGCCCATGGGATGTCAAAGACCTGATCAACTTGGCCTGAGCATCCCGCAAGATATTCTAGAAAGTACTTAAGAGGCAACACTGCCAACGACACATCATAAATTATGGATAATAATGGACATTTTTTACGAAGGTTTGACAAAAAATCACAAATTGTGCTTCTTTGGGGAAGCACAGAGGGAAAAACATGACTGGAAGAAGAGCCCAGTGTGCCACAGCCCAACATAAAAGAACCAAAATTTCTAATTACCGACCGTCCTCACGTGAGTTTATCCAGCGAGGATGCCACGCTGGTGTCACACACGTTTGCTGTCCGTGCCCTTTGTGGTTCAAACCAGAGGCAGACAGCCCTCGCCGTTCCTCGGACAGCGAAAGGCAGAACGAGAGAAGATTTACTCCCATCCTAAATTATTCAAAAGAAAAGGGACTGTGCATCTTTAACAAGCCATCATTTTATGAAGCAAGGTTAACATTTTTACTTGATTCAGTAGAATATTATAAACTCTCCGGGGTCCATTTGAGGACTTTCTACTTTGAGCAAAAGGCACGGACTCAGCACTTTTTATATTATTTAGAGAATAAAATTAACCCTTAATGGCCCAAGCTGGTATTTCTCCTCCCCAGTTAAATATGGCCCGCTCAGCAATTTCTCCCCATATATAATTACAGGCTGCTATCCATCATCTGTAGGAGAATGCTTTTCTGACACTCTAAAAGTGACACGGTAAGCACTTTTACTAATAGAATAAATATTCTAAATATCTCTTTTATATTTTCATTTAAATTGGAATATTTTAAAAATAATTGTAGGGACCCTGCCTGCGTGGCTAGTGCTGTGCTGAGGGAGGTGGCAGGATGCCTGTGTTTTCCTTCAGAGGAAATGTTTATCTTGCACGCAGTCCCGTCCACGTGCTGCCACAAAAAGTAATTAGGCACAGACTAATTTATTAGCCTCTCCCTCCACTGCTGCTGATGTCCCGCTTTCCTTTAAGCTCTCACTTTTAGCTTTTTTTCTCCTTTCTTTTGGCTGTTTTTTTTTTCCTGGGTAGTGGTTTCTCCGGGGGAAGGATGGGTTTGCCTTCCAGAAGGCACCGTTTGCTATTGCGTTGGGGTTCTGGGCCAGGCCGGTGGCTTTGAACGATGACGCCGTGGTGATGGGCACCAAGCACCTACAGTTTCATTTGCTGGGTTGAATCTCTTGTCAACAAGAGCTACCAGGATGGAGAAACGAAGGAGAAAAGCCTTTTGGGGGTCCAGGCCAGAGCAGCACATGGATCCAATCATCTGTCTGGTCATCAAAATCATGAGGGAGTTAGAAATCTCCAGGAGCAGCAAGTCAGAGCAAAACTGTGCTTAGGCAGATATTTCTCCACGCATTATCCGTTAAATGCAATAAAATAGTATCATTCCATAGGCCAACTGGGGCATATTTGAGATGGTGCCCTGAGACCTGCCAGACTTGAGGGAAACAAAATGATTGTTTCATTAGCGACTCGTTTTTTCAGCCAAAGAGCCGATTTAAAGCAAAGCTTGCAAAGTTCCTGTCGTGTTCTCAGCGCGGTACGTGGAGTCTCCAGCTCACGGAATAAGCTTTCACTGTCTCCTCCTGTTCATTTGCTCTCGGCACATGGAAGTGGCTGAACCAAGCCATGACACTGATGTGATGTTTCCTTCCATATCAAACACCTCCTAGAGGCACCTCGCGAACTGCCCAGAGAGAAGCAGACTGAGAGAAGAGGATGGCTCCTTCCTCCAGCTGTGGTCACAGAGATGGGCCAGTGTTGCACAGCAAATCATAGCATCATCAAATGGTTTGGGTTGGAAGGGATCTTTGAAGAACATCCAGTCCAAACCCCCTGCCCTGGGGACGCACCAGCCCAGGTTGCCCAAAGCCCCGTCCAACCTGGCCTTGAACCCTTCCAGGGAGGGGGCAGCCACAGCTTCTCTGGGCAGCCTGTGCCAGGGCCTCCCCACCCTCCTCGTGAAATATTTCTTCTTTATATCCAACCTAAATGCACCCTCTTTCAGTTTAAAAACATTGCTCCGTCTTTATGAGCCCCTTTTCTATATTGAAAGGCGGCTCTAAGGTCTCCCCGGTGCCTTCTCTTCCCCAGCTGAACCCCCCAGCTCTCTCAGCCTTTCCCCCCAGCAGAGCTGCTCCAGCCCTCGGACCATTCCCGTGTCCCTCCTCCGGCCCCGCTCCAACAGCTCCGTGTCTGTCCTGTGCTGGGGACCCCAGAGCTGGACGCGGGGCTCCGGGGGGTCTCACCAGAGGGGAGCAGAGGGGGACAATCCCCTCCCTCGACCTGCTGGCCATAATGGCCAAAGGATGATCAGAAATCCCAACATATAACCCCTCCAGAAGAAAAAAGCCTGGCAGCTCTCAACTACAGCAGAAAAGTATCATTTCCATAAATCTGAGAGTCCACCTTTGCTTTATTCAAACCTGGTGGCAAAGTGACTGGCTGCCCCTTCTGAACCACGACCGTCTGGGGACTCCACTGCTCTCGCGAGTCTGAGATGGCAGCTGGAGAAACCAAGGGAAGGTGGCCCATACCTTGTTCAAGGGACCCGAAAGAAGACCACGTGCTCTACTAAAGAAAGAGTGGTTCACTCCAAGAAGGAAAAATATTATTCAATTAATGGAAAACAGCAAAGAGGAGTCAGATATGACAGTCGCTTTGGCTCCCAGGGGAACCCCAGCATGGCCAACCCTCTCCCTTCGCCATGAAGCAGGGAAAGGTGAGATCCTGCAGCATGGCTCCGTGCCACTGAGGAACTGAGCTGGCTGTCCCCCCACCTCTCCCGTCGCTTACAAAGTGGGGAGCCACAAAATGTCAGATAAACCCCAACATTTCATCTGTTTGCATGTAACAGCCATAAAATCCCACTGGAAACCAGCAAGTGGCCACCAGCTCCAGGGCCCACTCCAGGAAAGCTGCTCTCTCACAAGCTCTGTGTGTTACACATGGTGCAGTAAGCTCACAGACAAGGTGGTGTGTCTACCCAGGGTGCATATTTCTTTAAACCAGAAGGCCCCCAGGACCTGGAGGTGGGCTCCACAAAGCCGCCAGATACATATTTGGGCACAGTTGTTGCAGGCTAGGTGAGAAGGGTGGTCTTGCTGCTAAGACTGAGCTACAATAAATAAGGCTCAAGTTTTAACCCATCACAGAGCCAGCATGAGAAATAAGCATTACTGTCTGAGGGGTTTCTGTGCAAAACACGGACTCCTAAGCCTTCTCCTTTGCTTATCATCTATTTAACAGTTCTCAAGGCAGGTGCTATTGGCTCAGGCACTGGCTTCTGCTAACACGGACACTCTGGGGAGCCTTCACAGAATCCCAGAACTATCTGGGTTGGAAAAGCCCTTGCAGCTCCTCCAGTCCAACCATGACCCTCCCCCTGACCGTTCCCAACTCCCCCAGATCCCTCAGCGCTGGCTCAGCCCGACTCTTCAACCCCTCCAGGGATCCCGGGGACTCCCCCCTGCCCTGGGCAGCCCATTCCAACGCCCAACAGCCCCTTCTGCACAGAAATCCTTCCTCAGAGCCAGCCTGACCCTGCCCTGGGCAGCTTGAGGCCATTCCCTCGGGGCCTGGCGCTGGCTCCTTGGCTCCAGAGACTCATCCCCCCTCTCTGCCCCCTCCTGGCAGGGAGTTGCCGAGGGCCAGGAGGTCTCCCCTCAGCCTCCTCTTCTCCAGACTGAACCCCCCCAGTTCCCCCAGCCGCTCCCCAGCAGACCTGTGCTCCAGACCCTGCCCCAGCTCCGTTGCCCTTCTCTGGCCACGCTCGAGTCATTCAATGGCCTTTTTGGGGTGAGGGGCCCAGAACTGAACCCCCTCAGCGAGGGGCGGCCTCCCCAGTGCCGAGCCCAGGGCTCAGATCCCTTCCCTGTCCCTGCTGGCCACGCCAGTGCTGACACCAGCCAGGATGCCGTTGCCCTCCTTGGCCCCCTGGGCACACTGCTGGCTCCCGTTCATCCTTCTCTTCCCAGGTAAACACCAGCACAACGTTTGCGAGCTGCAGACTTTAATTTGTTTCCTTTTCCTTCCTACCTGCAAGGCAATCAAGCCACTTTGCCCGTCACCCTTTGGGAATGCACTGGATTGCTGTTCATCCCATCCAGGTGTTCAGCAGCTTCCAGCTCTACAGCCCCCTTCAGTGCCATAGCTTGCACAAAAAACGCAGCTTGTGGCTTCATCAAAGGCACATCCATCCCAGGACCCCAAGAGCCATCCCCTCTTTACCTTTTCTCCCATGGGGCAATAGCCTTTGAGAAAATCCTGGCACACTTCTGCCTTCCTGGACACGTAGACGTGGCTGTACGGGCAGTTGCTGTTACTGCAAATTCCCTTCAAGAAGTAGGAGCACACTGGCATCTGCAAGGGCAGAGTATGAGAAACCCGTTAGAGCTCCCCCCGACTCGTGATTAGGAACCGTTCCAACACCCAGAACTGAAATAAAACTGTGACATGCATAAAATAAATATACACCTTTTGCCAGCCACTGATCCCAGAGGTATTTTAACCTCTTCTATTAGTCTCCTGCAACGCAGCTCCCTGGCATTACGTGATCCCAGTGTATATATGCACCGGGGGTTAATATGTTTGCTTTGGCATCCTTCAGGATGTTGGAAAGAGGGTGGAAAGCATGAAACTGCTACCAGAAAGAAAACTGCCTCTGTACAGCACGAGGAAGGGATGGGGAATCGTAACAAAGTCTGCTATCATGAGGGCTTTGCTGGCATGACGCACGGGGCAGGTTCATCTTCTGCTGACACTCTCCCAAGTAACTCTGAAGAGGAGAGAAGGGGCCACTGCTCCCCAGCTCCTCGTTTGTAGGGGGGTCTGGCCATCGTAAAGGCCAACACAGCATCCTGGGTGTGCCCCCCCTCATTTGGCTGTTCCATGGATACGGAGCTGGCTGGAGAGCACGTGGTTAGATAAAAGCTCCAAAAAGTGTGTCCTAGCAAAGGGGAAAACCTCCACAAGCGTTTTCGGGGTGTTCCATCATGTGAAGGCATCAGCCTCGTATCCCCAAGGGCTGCCAGCGCTGGAGAAGGGATGCTCCAGGAGGGAGGGAAAGGAGGAGGAGAGCCCAGGCTCCTGCCACGAGCGGTCAAGGAGAGGGGTTGGATCCCCGGAGCAGAGCCTCGCTCCCGCCCTCACCGCTCCCGAGCTTGAGCAGCGCGACAGCCGACGGCGAAAAGCGAACAAGCAAAGATCCTCATCGTCCTCAAACCACAAACTTCACCTTCTGCCAGCTGTTATAATTAAAAACAAATTACCAGCCTGCTGTGATATTTCAGCATCCTTAACTCACCGGCTACTGCAGGCAACTTCCCGACCCAAGCAGGCAGCTGCCGACAGGAAGAGGCGCTTCCTGAAGCCGTCGCAACAATCCAGCTCCTCCCGCTCAATCCCTCGCTGCTCTCCTACACGCTGAATTAATTCCCTTCCAGCTCAGCTCAGTATCGATCCCTCCATTCACCAGTAGCATCTCAGTCCCGCCAGTTCGAGCATCCCCAAACTAGTATTTACAATTCTACAATAACCACAGCTGAGGCTATCCGGAAAAATCCCTTTCCCTGAAGGGCACGTTTGGGTTTTAACTAAATTGGCTCACTTGAGGTAAAGAGAGAAATAGAAGGAGGGGGAAGCAGAGAGGAAAGAAAACAAAGGGTGCTTTAAAAGAGAAGAGTTTATTTTTAATTGTCTTTTAACTGCAGACATTAACATAAAGGACAGGGCTCTGGGGCTATCTTTTCTGGTGGTGGTGGTGTGACCGTAAATGATTCCCTTAATGTAGTTTTTGATATAGAGCCCAAATTAGCTCTAATAAAAAGGGATAATAAAGGCAGCTCTTCTACAAAAATAAACTCCTCCTTGCTGTCAAGCCTGAGCCATTATCAAGAGGAAGCAGCACTCTCATTTCAATTAACCTTGTTTGCACCCCACTACGTCCACACAAATAACAATAACATTAATTCAAGGCACTGGTGCGGTGCGTCTGTATTAGACAGCTTTGACTATGTACATGCTTTGGAGCCAGCAGCTAATGAACCCGAAACTCAACGTGAATTTCCAAATTGCTCACAACAGAGTTTTGAAGCTCTATTAGGGAGAAAAATGCTGATTCTTTCCGAGTTCCTCAAGGGGAAAAGCTGTTGTAGCAGCAGCGGGCGGTTGCCCGAGTCCTAGCCTCTCGCTAACCTTCACTCACAAACCCATTCGTTCAGATTTACGCCTGGGATCCGCCGTCGCGGAGAAATTCCCTGCGCCTCGCCTCGACGGATGCTCCTCAGCCAAGAGCTCTAACCTGCATCCCCTGCGCAGCAAAATTCCCCAACTGCCAGCTTTCCCTCTCCTCCAGGCTCCTTCTTCCATTGCCAAAGGGATAGTTCGAGTTTTGAAACAATCTGCAAAGCACCGTGCCCATCTGGAGCAAACCCTCCGCCCCAGAGAGCATCCTCCGCTCGGAGCAAGGGTTTTGCTGCTTAGGATGGGGAAAAGCTTAACCCACGCAGCTTTCCCATAGAAAACAGAGGGATTGTCCCCGTTTGTCAGTGGGCAAACTGAGACATGGGATAGCCCCAAGGTTGAGTAAGAGTTTTGTTCCCAAAACAATAGTTAAGCTCTGCAACCTCTTGGTCTTTCACCTCCTGGAGCAGGTACAGGGCCCCATCCCCAGTGACTTCCCACTGGGGTGAGGCACACGATGACAATAAACTGAAGTTTCTTTGATGAGGAGGTTGTGGGGTGTGTGTCCCCCATAACCACAAAACAAAATCAAGAGTCAACTAAAGGCGCATCAACAAAACCAGGAAGCCCCAAACCACAGCTGACAGCACATCGTCGTCAACCACGTGAAGAAAATCGCGTTGAAACCCCAACAAAAGCCAACAAGAAGCTGCTCATCCGAGGAGCAGGTGGAATCTGCTCCAAAACACCCCCAAGCAGGCGCAAACCGCTGCCTTCCTCTGCTGAAAGACTTCACCTGCCTCTCTCCGCTGCTGATAAATGAGACTAACGCCACCTTTGCTAGTAATCACCCGGGTTAACAGGGAGCTACGGGACTTGAAAAGCAAAGTCGCCTCTCGCTTTGGGTAGCAGCATCCCCGCAGCTATAAATCACCCTGAAACAGGCTTGAACTCCGCAGAGGAGGTTGTTTCTCTTCCAGTCTGCGCAGACGACAAGGTGGCGAGCGGAGACCTCTGAACTGCCCCCGGGGCGCCTAATCCCACGAAAAATAATCCTCCTTCCCCTGCGGAGCGCGACGTGCCTGGCCAGAAACACATGTTCTGGAAGCATTTATTCCTAAGAGCTGGCACTTGCCTGCTTCGTTTGTAGGCTTGTTAATTTAATGACTCGTCTTGGGTTTAGATGATGCTTCATAGCAGAAAACTGCTAAGGGAAAAGGAGAGATGGGCAGAGGCCACCTCCTCCCTGTAGGATCCCTTCCCAGGGATTCTGTCCCCAAAATGCCATCAGCAAACTAGCTCTTCCACAACAAACTTCAGCATGGCCACTCCTTTTTAATTCTCTTTTATTACCACAATCATATCATGTTTATTTTGCCCCCAATCCTAACTGACGAGGTGTTGCTAAATGGGAAAGGTTGAGTTTCCCACATCACGCTGCAGCCATCATTCTCCATCTTTTCACCCAAAATGGAGCCCCGAAGTCAAAAGCTTGAGGTCCTCCTTGAGGCATCAAGACACAACAAGTGGTTTTGGGAGAGAGAAACTGAGGCCACATCTTCACCAGCAAATAAATTCCTTCATGCGGAGGAATATTTCTGGGTACTGAGACCAGCTGGCAAAAACCCACCCACATCCAGTCGTCGCATCCTTCGGTGGACACGGCTACGGCCAAACACCGACCAAAACGGCTCCTTGGCCACCTCCAACTCCCAAGTTTCACCCAGGTTTTTGCCCTGGGACCACAGACAAGCTCTGGAAGCTGCTGAAATACCATTTATCTTGCCAGTACAGATGTAAGCGAACAGTCCTGTGCGGACTGGATGAGTATCAAGCCTTCGGTTCAGAGGCACAGCGGGTTGCGTGCTGCCGTTAGAATTAGTATATTGGGTGAAGAGAAGTAGCTGACCCCATATCCACTCCAAATCTGCATTAAATACAACAATTCTGGATACACCAACAGCCAGTCCCTTTGAAAGCTTTCTTCTTTCTTGGCTTCTTTATTTCTGAAGTCTAATGATATGTTTTAGGAAGAAAAAACAAAAAAAAACAAAAGCCAGTCCTTTTTCCTTCTATCAATTCTCATCCCCATCCCTCCTTTGACACGCCACGAGTCAGGGAATACAGCTGTCCCCAGTCTATCTTCTCTCTTTTATATACTCGTGATTAAGTGACTCTGAAGAGAGATACATGTAAAAAACATATGGTGCTTTGTGCCTCGTTCAGAGCGACTCCGCTCACTGCCACGATAACTTATGAGCTCCCCATTGACTATGAACGTGCCTTAGGCAAACGGAGGGAAAGGGGGAGAGGAAAACTGCATGCCCAAAGGCAAATGCTGTTGGAAAAGGTCCTGTCCCAGATGCTGATGAGACCCGATGTCCCATGGGTTAAATCCTTTCCAGGTCAGTAATTGCACTGCAATTACCTACACGATGCTGTGAGTGGGGAATGAAGGACAGAGATGGAGGGAGTGGGGAGAAGAAAGTGCTATAAACAGGGCGCGGGTAAAAAACCCCCAAAGTCTGAGTAATTAAAAGCAGCACTTCCAGATCTGGCACGGCTCAGGAGACCTCCAGTCCCCACCATGCCCTAGGCCCAGCTGTAAAAGCTTTTGATAAATGACACACCAGAAATCCAGCCAAGTGGGGGTTCACACTCATCAAGCGACATGACGAAGGACTGAGCCTTAGGGGCTTCTCCAGGGAAAGTGGTCGATGTTCACATCCCGCTTACTGGCACCTCCATCCCAGAAACCCAGAACCATCTGGGTTGGAAAAGCCCTTGCAGCTCCTCCAGCCCAACCATGACCCTCCCCCTGACCGTTCCCAACTCCCCCAGATCCCTCAGC